AACGGTCGTTTCAATTATCGTGGCCCTAAAACGAATCCCTAATTCCCTATAATGCTGTCATTCCCTGGCTAATCTCATGGGGAAAGGGTATCCACACTGACATTGATAAGATTATGAATTTTTGATGCAAAAATGGATTAATATCTACAGGGAAGGTTTGGAGAGTCTGGCGTTTGCGGTTTGTTCAATATTCCAGGCACCAGCCAGTGACTGTAACGCTTTCTCCGAGTATATCGACCGCAAAGGTATCATAAAACGACTTCCATCGTCCGGCCCCGAGTGTTTACAAGGTCGCACGTTAAGAATCAGTATGCTGTACCCATCATCCCATCCCTGGGGCTTTGTAGTTGAAAACGCGATTGTATCAAAATCCCCTGCCAAACTTTGCTAGAGCTAAGCTTATCTCACGAATATGATATTCAATCACGTATTTAATCTCCGACATGATAAACGGTCAGAATTAATAATCCGTGGGAAAAATGAGTAACGCATATGGAGTATTTAGCTGTAATGGTAATGAGTTTTCTTTACAAAATGTTGATGTTGCATTTTTTTCAAAGACGTTGAATATTAATATCATATTACCGCATCGTTGGTTACAAATGGCACGGCTTACTTACTGATGGCATGCTATCACGGCCGTAATCTCTGATGAATTGATTTTTATGTTTTCTGATTTTCTCTGAGCTTTCTGAAAGAAAAGGAAAATTACCTAATCGCTCATTGTAGAAGCAGAGATGGATATTTTTTATGTTATGTCATTTTCATAATGCTGTAGGTAAGGGTGATATGAAATAGGATTGGTTCTGTCCATGGTGAAACGCAGGTCCAGTGCGCGTCTATGTGCTAATGAGTTCCAATCACACGGCAGCCCTCACCCTCATGTTGCTATTTCCCACCTGTGTTATTACATCGGCGCAGTGCACTCGCAGGGATATTATATACACCATGGGATTGGCTTGTTTTCAACGGATGGCGGGCTCCATATGGCCGACATGGCGCAACAATTCGGAATGAAAGCCAGCGGGGAGAACATCAGAAGGCTGAGGACGTGCACGTACACTTGATGATAAGTCCCTCGGTAACGACCCGTGGAGCGGCACGTGCATTTGTTCACGTCGAACGCAATTTTCGACTCCACATTTCATCGACATGAAAACGCGACGTGTTTCACGTTCCTGCATAAAAATGTAGGGTTGCGCTGTTGGCAACGCCCTACCCTTACATAGGTACAAAAACTTCCTATCCCGGCGTTTTACCCATCATATACGTTATGTATATCCAGATTGTCTATTGACTGTTGTAAATAACGGTGCTCTAGGCACCACCCAGATAAATCCAGAACGTGTTTTCAGCGTTTTATCACTGAAGGTTGATGCTGGGGGGGGGGGGGGAGTGGGCTGGTAAAATCGCGCCCCTAGCGGCCCGCCAGCTGATCAGGACCGTAAGCTAAACGCTGTGTGTGTGTGTTATGTGTTTTAGTACCTTGCTTTATGTGCCATTCGTACACAGCTTCTATCCTTTATAAATAAAAAATAACACGTTTTCCCTTTCAGTTCCAGCGCTATCTTTTTGTCCAATTATCAATCCCCAAACTCCATTTTAGATTCAAACTTTCTGCGCGAGCGGCAATCTTTCTCCGGGGTCGTGACCCGGCCATCCCTCTCGGAATGAGCAGTTCTAGTTTTCACGGCAAATGGTGGTATAATGGGCGGGGAACGTCCGCGGAGATGAGCAGGCGATAACCGTATGCGTGGCACGTGCGATAACATTTACCGCTCGTAAAGATGGCGTCAGATGGTCATCCATGATTACTGGCAGGATTATCATGCTGTCAGCTCGGTAAATGCCATCTTAGCGCCATCGTACCGTACGATGTTCTAAAGATCAAAGAATTGACTCATCCTTCAAGGGTCATGTAGTCTTCGATTGGTCTTAAGAATCACGTTCGCAGGAAGACGGCATCTTATCATTCCGAGAAAGCCGGATTCAATGACGAAAAGATTGCAACAAAATGCCGGGATGGAATATTTATTGAGCAGGGGGAAGTGATGAGGTATTCCTCGAAGCTCCTGACGTATACTAGTATGTTATGTTTATGTAAGTAATCACGTAGCACACGACCATAGATCTAGTCTGATACCAGGTACATTCGTTGCTCCTCGTTCCCATTTAAATCAGCAGCGCTGTTTGTCGTTCCCAGGACTCGGATGGC